GATAGATAGATAGATAGATAGATAGATAGATAGATAGATAGATAGATGATAGACAGAAATGAATGATTGATAGATAGGTAAATCGATAGATTGGTATATAGATAAATATGGATAGAGAGAGAGAGAGAGAGATCTTACTTTAACCACCCTTGGCTTCTCTAACTCTGAATTTATCCCTCCCCACTTGACAGACCCCTCCCCTCTCCCAAGGCATCATTTGGGGTCCTTAGAGCAGCGAAGGAGGGGTGGCTGAAGCCCTACCCCCTACCCCATTGGACCCACGTTTCGGACCCTAACCCTCCTCTCTGCCTTCCCAGGGGTCCTTGCGGTGGTTTTCGCTGCGCTGCTGGCGGCCCTGAAGGATGTGGTGGCCTACATCTTCACGGACGACAAGTGAGACCCCCTCCTCGTTCTTTTCCCCTTTGTCTCAGGAAGGGAAGGAAGGAAGGAAGGCCGGAATGGGAGGCTGCCTGTCGTGCCTCTGCATGTACAGGCGGTCCTCGGTTTACGACGGGTCGCTCAGGAGCGACTATTTGAAATTATAACCGAGCCACCAAAAGCTGCTTACTAAAACCATTTCCAAAGTTACGACCGCACACACGCACACACAGGGTCAGTCAATGCGACGGTTGTAAGTGCGAGAACTGGTCACAAATCTTTTTTTGTTAAGTGCGGTTGTAACTTTGGACGGATGCTAAACGAATGCTTGTAATTCTAAGGCTACATGCATATGAGCTTTTCCCCCAGTGCAGACTTTAGAACTCAGATCTCCTAATATATAATTTCTCCCCCCTCGATAGAGAAATTGTTGCTTTGGTCTCCAAAGTGATGCTGATTTTCTCACCGTTTCACCTGTTCGATGCCATGGCGGTGAGTTTCCGGCGGGGCGCGAAGCCGTGGGTTGAGCTGCGAATCCTCTTGGCGCCCAAATGGGCTTTCGTAGCCATGAGGACTAGAAAACCTGCTCCTTTTAAAAAGATTTTTTTTTAAAAAAAATAAGGGGGTCTTTGGGGCAGCCACATTCCCTGGGCTTCCTCCTAAGCAGCTCCACACAATGTGCCCTGCCCTCGGGACAACAACCTTGGGAGGTAGGCCAGCCAAGTGGGGATCTTAAGTGTGGATCCTCGTCTCGGGATGGAGAGACCCTTTTAGGGGACTGCCCTAACCTCCCTGCTCTGCCTCCATTCACCAGGCCACTTCCGGAGGGGTGCTGAGGGGCGCCGGCAAGCAGAAAATTGGCGCCATCGCCAACGCGGTGGGCTACTACGTCGTCGGGTTGCCCATTGGGATTACACTGATGTTCGTGTACAAGCTTGGCGTGATGGGTGAGCCGGCCAGGAGGGGCCGTTTTCCCTTTACAAGCTGCCCTCCAGATGTTTGGCCTTGGTCTGTGGGACTATCAGCCAGCCCCATGTGCCTCATACGGTGTTTGAGATCCCATTATCAAAGCCACAGGGGGTCCCTCCCCATCTGGTGGCAGTGAGTTCCACGGGCAAACTCAGCATCTAAAACTGTGTTTCTCAAACTCAGCAGTTTTTAAGAGGGGTGGACTTCCATTCCCAGAATCCCCCAGCCAGCCTGCTTTAAGAGGGGAGGACTTCCGCTCCCAGAATCCCCCAGTCAAGGATGCTTTAAGAGGGGTGGACTTCCCCTCCCAGAATCCCCCAGCCAGCCTGCTCTAAGAGGGGGGGGCTTCCACTCCCAGAATTCCCCAGCCAGGATGCTTTAAGATGAGTGGACTTCCACTCCCAGAATCCCCCAGCCAAGGATGCTTTAAGAAGGGTGGACTTCCGCTCCCAGAATTCCCCAGCCAGGATGCTTTAAGAGGGGAGGACTTCTACTCCCAGAATCCCCCAGCCAGCCTGCTTTAAGAGGGGCGGGCTTCCACTCCCAGAATCCCCCAGCCAGGATGCTTTAAGAGGGGAGGACTTCCACTCCCAGAATTCCCCACATAGGATACTTTAAGATGGGTGGACTAGAACTCACAGAATTCCTCAGCCATCCATGCTTTAAGAGGGATGGACTTCCACTCCCAGAATTCCCTAGCCGGCAACCCCCAGGCTAGAGTGATTTTGATCCAACCTACCTAGCAGGTTTGTTATGGGGGAAAATGGGAAGAGGCTTTTATACACAGCTTTAATCTCTTAGGCAATGTTTCTCAAACTTAGCCACTTTAAGACGGGTGGACTTCAACCCCCAGAATTCCCCAGCTAGCTATGCTGGCTGGGGAATTCTGGGAGTTGAAGTCCATCCGTCTTAAAGCTGCAGAGGTTGAGAAACAGGGCTCTGGAATCAACCACTTGTTCTCCCTGCAGGTTTGTGGACTGGATTAATCGTCTGCATCTCTCTGCAAGCTGCATCCTTCTTGGTTGTCGTCTTACGCATGAACTGGAAAAAAGCCGCCGAAGAGGTAAAATCTCTGCCTTGCAGACTTGATTGTGCCTTGTCCTCAGTAGTACCAGCTGAGGAATGGGTTCATGGGCTTGGCTCAGAAGAAAAGCAAAGCATCGGCTACTATGGCAGGGGTGTCAAACTTGATTTCATTGAGGAGCGCATCAGAGTTGTGTGTTGCGGGCGCCTCTGGAGGCCCGAGCATTCTGCCAGCGAAAACGGGTTCCCGAGCTCTGTCTACGGCTATGACGGCCTGCTCCGACCCTCTGCCAGCGAAAACAGAGTTTGGGACGAGCGCATGCAGCCCTCCTGAGCTCCGTTTTCGCTGGCAGAGGCACCGCAGGCCGATCCTTTGCTGTTTCCAGGGCAGCCCCGTGGGCGAGATCTAAGGACTCCGCGGGTGGGATCCAACCCTTGGACCTTGAGTTTGACACCCTCGTAGTATGGTGCATTTGTTCTGCTTGTTTTGTTCTGCTTGTTTCTCTTAGGCTCAGATTCGAGCTGGACTAACAGTCAGACAAGGAAGTCCTGAGGATTCTGACAGCGCAGGTAAAAATGCCCTACCCTTTACTCTTTGTGTGATGTGATGTGCATGGCGTTTGAAAGGAAGCCTTTTGTTTTTAAAACAATGGGGAAAAAAATTTGAACAACTTTTAAAAGCACCCATTGGCTGTTACAAGATTTATTCGACTGCATTTTACATTTGGTCTGCCATGCAAGGCCATCTATTTTATTTATTTCTCTGGACCCCACCTTTATTATTTTTTGCCAATACACCTCCCTCCTTTTCCTCTCTCTTCCCCACCAGAACAATCCTGTGAGGTGGGTTGGGATGAGAAAGAGAGTAAGTGGCCCAAGTGTGGTTCTAAGGCCAGGCCTGCTGTATGTCCACCAGAAACAGATGGTCAGGTCGAGCGTATCAATCAGTAATGTCTACTTATTTGCATGTGGTCTCCACACAGATTATCTTGCGATGAATTTGGAGGTTCCCAACGGAGATACTCCCAGCTGTTTTGTCCACCCGGGTGAAAACTTAGGGGACCATCAGCCTCTTCCCAGCGAAGAGGTGCCCCAGTTTATTGCTTCTCCGACACCAGGGGCCTTATCCCGCAAGCAACTTCTTATCCGGCGCGGACTGGCACTGCTGTTAGCCGTCGCCATCTTGCTTTTGGGGGTTGTCATCCATCTCCTGCTCTGAGAACGGCGGAGTTGTGCAACATGGGAAGACCAAAGAGGGCAGCCGTGTGGGAGACCTTCTCACCTCATTGGTGCTCACCCCCAAAGAATCTAAAAGTGATCCAGCCTGGGATCTGATCCCCAGGAATGGTTGCTCTTTTACCATCAGCCTGGACCAATGATGGGGAAAGACTTGGTGGAAAGACTTAACTTGCCTTTAAAGGCATTTGGAAAATCACATCGGAATAAATCCAGGTGTTTAAAAAAAAATTTTTTTAAAAAAAAATTGGTGTTTTGTATTTTAACTTTTTTGGAATAAAATAAAAATAGATATTAAAAAAGAAAGGAAAAAAATCACATTGGAATATATCCAGGTGTTTTCTTTACACATTCACTGATAAAATTGCTTTTTTTTAAAAAGAAAACTGTTGAGGGTTTGGTTGACCACTGTTAGGGATACACCTTAGCAGAATCTGCACGGCAGGCAGGCAGGCAGGCAAAATATGTGAGATAAACGTTTTTGTAGCTTACACTCAGTAAAACAGATACACTGCGCTAGTTAAAGTTTATTCCAGTAAGAGTTATAGCATAGTCAAACAGTCCATATATCATTCACTAATTCAGTCCGTCCGGGGATTATTCAGTTGCAAAGTCCAGTGTCGAAAAAGAGAGGTCAGTAAACTTAAAAATATCAGTCCAGTAATATATCTCCTTGCAGTAGAGATATGAAGAAGTCAAAACTCCTCTCTTCCTTCAACTCAGCGGCAGGGAACACGCAGTTAGCACACCATCAATCCATCAAACCATCAATTGTCAGCAATCGTCAGGTTCTCTTGTTCCCTCTTATGGCGGTTTCACACCGCACCCAAAATTACATGCTTTGCAGTTTAAAGTGACACACACTGCAACTTACTATCATAGTTTATATATATTATTTTACCCAAACTACGTTAGGTAACCTATGTTATTCCTAACAACCACTGTGCTTCAAGGAGGTCCCCAGGTGGGGTCAAAAAAGTCACGTGAGCTGGAACTGGAAGGTAAGACCAAGGGCAGGGGAGGGAAATCCGCCCTGGTGGGAAAGTCGGTCCCATATTCCAGAGCTGCAGGAGTCACAGGACTGGCCCTTTGGTCATCCTGGAGCAGCTCCTCCAGTCCATGGCAGGCCGGTGCACCCGGATGGAGGAGCAGCTACTCCAGGATGACCAAAGGGCCAGTCCTGTGACCACTGCAGCTCTGGAATATGGGACCGACTTTCCCACCAACATCAGCAAGCCACCATCAGTCAAAATTCGTATTAGTGATTCGCGGAATTTAAAATTACGAGTTTGGTGGTCCCTGAGGTCCAAAAGGTTGGCGACCCCCTGATTTAGGCAATATTGCAGATCATGTATAAGAATTACATACTGTCCTCAAACCTCCCTTCAAGGTAGGCCAGGAAACAAGATTGGAAATCCAATCCTAAAAAGAAAAAAAGATCTCTTCCCTGAGTCAAATCTGAGCAAGGGTTGGTCTGGATGACCTCAAGGTCATTTTCCAATGCTAGGATTCTACCACTCAACAAGTCAAAGTACTCATTCTTAAAAAAAAAGGAAGATACCCCCAAGGAGAGCATTCAGCCTTGGATCAAAGATCTTGCCCTCGTTATCCATCAGAAATTTATGGACAGCTTCTCACCAGGACAAAGAGAACCCAGGCGAAACGGGGCAGAAAAGTTACTTGGTGGTCCCCTTTCCTAAAGTTGCAAGAGGAGGAAACCAAACGAGATGGGTGTCAAGCAAATCTAAGAAATAATTAAAAGAAATAAAACCAATATCAAAGGGGAGTCACACGGTAAATCCACCCTGAGCTCCATCAACGGAAGATTTTTAATGCAATGAGTTAAATTCGATAACATAAATGCAAATAAGATTAAAAAGATTTTCTTTTCAAAATGCAGGGCTACTTGGAAGCCACAAGGGGGCGCCTGAACCTCACAGTGACTCTTTCCCCATGGAAGTTTTGTAAAAAAAATCATATTTTTTTTCCCCAAGATTTGGGGGTCTCAGCAGAGCTTGTCCTTCCACTCAGCCATCTTGGCTTGTTTGGGGGGAGGGGGTGTTTTCTGCATGCCAATCTTTTTTAGAAACAAAGCCAAACCTGGTTTGTCTTGTGGGAAAGCAACCTTTATCAACTTAAACCAGTTTTTTCTCAAATTCAGCAGCATTAAGGTGGTTGAACTTCAACTCCCAGAATTCCCCAGGCAGCATGTTAGTGACCATTTGAAGTTAACAACAGCGCTGAAAAAGTGACTTGTGAGTGTTTGTCACACTTACGATGGTCACATCCCCTGGCCCCGTGATCAAAATTTAAACACTTGGCAACTGGCGTGTACTTATGACAGTTGCAGTGTCCCAGTGACACGGGATTCAGTTTTGTGACGTTCTGACGAAGCAGAGCCAATGGGGAAGCCAGATTCACTTAACAACCGTGTTAATAACATCACAATTGCAATCATTTACTTAAGGACCGTGGCAAGAATGGGTGTAAAATGGGACAAAAACTCACTTAACAGAAGTCTAGCGGCAGACATTTTAGCCTCCAACGTGGTCGTAAATCAAGCAATCCCTGTGTATGAAACAGCCCAACATTCACCAATTTTAAGACAACCGAAAGCACCCAGTCGCTAGCTGGTTTAACTTTAGTGGCTTTGTAATATAAGGGAGTACAAGCTGGAGGAAATGCTGGTCTGTGACAAACCGAGGCTTGCTCAGATCCTGGTTTGTTGTCCTTCCAAGAACATTTCTTCCTGCAGTTGGAAATGAACATGGTTCATTTCGGGGTTTGGCTAAAGGCCAAATTAACTTCCCCTCTTTCCTGTAAAAAAAAATAAACGACTTTATCTGGCACGATGTACAAGAATCCACCAAAACACAGGAAAAAAAAAATCAAGGCTCATCTCTCTTTTTTTTTTAAGAAGACCTTTTGCCCCCAACTTTTTCCACCGGAGAAGACTTGGGTTCGAGTCCACCCACAGCCACTAAAGGCAGTGGGTGATTCCAAGCTCCCTCTTCCGGCCAGCCTCCCTTACAGGGTTGTTTTAAGCGAGGGTAAAATAGAGAGAGAGGAAAAAAAAAAGATATTGTGAGCTTTGGGGAAGTCAAGTTGGGATGAAACCACATTTAGATCTCCAAATTTTTCAGACTTTCATGCCGGCAGAGGAATTTGGGGAGTTGGAAGTCCAGAAGTCTGAAACGTTGCCAAGTTTGTGAAGATCTAGAGATTGTTCAACTGGGTGTAAATAGGTGATTGAGATGAATTTGAACCTTTTCAAAAGCTTCTCCTAGTTGGGGGATGAGCCCTTGCGGTGTCCCCGATCCGGCTGCCCCTCACCCCGTATCCCTCCTTCACACAGCCCCCCATAAACAACCCCAATTCCACCCATGTTCGCACAACCCAACCTTGGCTAGCTGGCATCTGAGGAGGGGCTCTCTTCCTTTCTTCCTTCCCTCTCTTCCTGAGGAGGGGCTCTCTTCCTCTCTTCCTTCCCTCTCTTCCTGAGGAGGGGCTCTCTTCCTTTCTTCCT